TATAATATCCCTACAACTCGAGTGTAATTGGGTAGTTTTTCTAGTTATTATTAATCTTAAAAATTCCCTCCTTCATCTATCTCACTACTGTTTAGGAAGGCAAAATTCTATCATGTTGGGAACATCTTTCAAATATTAATTTCAAATATAAATAAATATATTTTTTGAGTTTATATTTGATACATTGTAAGTATACAAAATTTATATATTGTTACTGAATTAGATGATGTCAACTCAAATGAAAATTTTTTCAAAAAATTAAGATTTTATATATTTATCTTAAGGGCTAGTAAATATTTATGTTTAATCGTGATATCATCTGGGTCAGTACATCAAATATAAACTTTTTTATTACAAAAAATATCGTAATCTAAAAATAAAGAAAGATAATCAAAGAGCTATAAGTTAAACCCTATATTTATTGTATATCACCTTTTAAAAATAACTGCATTTGCACACATAGAGGGATATCAATGAACTTATAATATCTTCAACCCACTTCTAAAATTCTCTCATTTACTTATTTAAGGTTAAGATAACTTGATTATTCATAATTCAAAAGGAATACATATAGGGATTTCTTTCTTATGATTCAACAAGTTTAGGTGGGAATATGGGTTTCAGTCTTAATCTTAACTTGTTAAATATAGAGAGGCCTCTTCAGCAGATAATATCTAATTAAGAGCTGAATTGCGGTAGATATTTGCCCGGCCCATCTAACGAAGGGCACATTAAAAAAGTGAATTAATGGACGAAAGTAACAGTTAAAAAATGAAAGAATTATTTGCGGAGTCAAAGGGGTTTGCTGAAGAAGGACTGTGTAATTGGGCATGGCTACAAGTTTCCAGTACACGACAGTTTTTCATAAACAGCAGAATGTATAAAGTTCCAATCGAATCCGATAGAAGTCCTGAATGGTCGGTCCATGGTATGGGTCCATTGAAAATGATAAATCGAATTAAATTCGATTCCATCAATTATTATTTATAATATGTAAAAAAATTTTATATTTATAATGTTTAAAAATTAATTATAATATTATGTCAACCTAATCATAAATCAATTGACATCAAAATTTAAATTAAATAATAAAAAAGAGACATGAAGTCAAGAGTGAAGAGACTTGTATTATATTATAAGGAAGTGGGTGAAAATAATAAACCAAATTCCTGATGAAGTACATTACCTAACTAAAATTTGATGACCAATTGGATCACTAAATCGGTAGGCAAATCTTGCTAGAAATGGATTGTAGTTAGGAAGGAGCTAGAGAAGTGAGGGTGGTAGCGTTTGTTAAAACAAAAATGATATGAATGATGGAAGGAGCTAGGGGGGGTTGTCATTGTCATTGAAAATTCTCTATATATTTTTACTGTAAAATAAAAAATAACTTTGTATGTATGTGCAATTATGCATGAATGCAGCCGCTCCTACGATCCAAGAGTCAACACATCCTTCTTTCATTTTTCCTTTCACCCTAAGAAAATGACAAATCCATAAAAGTTGACTTCCATTGATAAAAATTAATGATAAAGAGTTTGTCTTTTTGTTTTTGGAAAAAATCTTCTTCGAAATGCAATCGAATAAAACTTTCAATAAAATTTTTTATAAATATTTAATTATTTTATATATTTTTTAAATTTAATAAATAATTATAAATAATATTTTAAAATACGTTGATTAAATAAATAAATCACGAACATAATAAATTTTACTTATTTTCTGTTTCTTTACACTTTTAATGTTTAGTAAATATTTTAAATTCTAAAAATTATTTTAAAAATAATAATTTGATCGGTGAAATTTAAAAAATTCTACTAATAATTTATCTTTAGAGAATTTACTCGGCCTTTCTTGTTTTAGATAATAATTGCAAATTGAAACTAATTTATTTCAATTAAAAAATATAATAATTTTTAAAAAATCAAATCTAACATATTTAAAATTTAAAATTTAATACTTATAATTTTTTTCTATTACCAAATCGAAGTTTTCTTTGTAAAATAAAGAAAAAAAAAAAGAGAGAAAGCTTTATTTTTTTTTCTTGGATTCCTTTACAACCATATAATTTGTTTGTATCGATGTACTGAGTTCTCTAATGAGACACGGTTTGGCTTTTACGTGCGTAGAAAAAGGCAGAGTAAGCTTCGAAAGCTAGAATGCTACACATAACATCAAACAATTGGTAATTCCAATAAATTAATGCAACAAGCCATATATCTCAAGAAGATTCATATGATCTCCTTCTCAAATAAATAAATAAATAAATAAATAAATATTAACATATTATAAAAATTTAAATTTAACTAGTAATATCAAATATAGAATTACTATTTCATATGATATGATTGAGTTTTTTTTTTAATTTTTAATTTTGCTTTGAACCTCATATCCTTATATTTATTGACTAAAGAGGATATTACTTACATAAATTTCTTCGAACAGTACTCTCAAAACATCAACTCTAATATCATGCCAATTGATCCAAAGGTTAATTCGTATTATAGTTGTGAGTTTAATTTTATTTTTTAAAATGTATCTTATAAAATATATGGCGAGTCGATATATTAGATAATTTATTTATATAAAAAAAGTAATAGTTTAAAAATTAAAAAAAATAAATTATATGTGTCAAAATTTAAATTTTAAATTTGTCGAATGTTATTTTTTAAAAATAATTATATAAATTAATTAAATTAATTTAACTAAAATTCGAATTTAATTATTTTAAAAATGAAAAGGGAACAATGAGAGAGATAGAATAGAAGAAAAAAAAAGGAAAGAGAAAAAAGAGAGGTAGTTATCAGAAACAGCAGAGTGGTCACGGGTTTCACTTGACCGAAGGAGGCATCATCTTCCCCACAATTAAACCTATTAATACAATTTGTATTTGTAAATTTTGTTCCCTTGAAGCCCCCACACAGCCACCTCCCTACCAATTACTTTTCTACATCTACATTAATTCTACTGCTCTTTTAATCAAAATAAAAGGTCTTTGAATCCCTTTTCAATATTGCAATACATTGTCCAATGATTCTCCTTGTTGAAGATTATAGTAAGCTCAAAATTAGATAGCTTTGTATGATTAAACAAAGAATTCTCTAAAGTAGTGCATTTCAAATTTAATTTTTTTTGCGTAATTATCACTTGAATAACATTTTTTCAAAGGTGTCAAAGGTCAAAACATGAATAAAAAAGAGTTAATATTTGATATATTATTCATGTAAATTTTTAATTTTACAAGCGATATTAAAAGATCAACCAACGTCTCATTTTTATTTTTAATTAATTTTTATTTTCTTAAATATACTCTAAGAGGTATGTATTGTCTTTTTAATTCCGTTTATGAAGTTTAAAATTTCAATGTCAATGTATTTGATAATTTCTTAAATAAAATTAAATCAAACGCACGAAACAACTAATAAATCAACGTATAATTGGACAAATCAAATATTAGGGCCTCATTTTTGTCATTGAAACAAGGGAACAAACTCACATATAATGAGACTAAATTTGAGATCTCAAGATTAGGACCTCATTGTTGTTATTCAAACAAAACTTCATTAACTTATTTATCTTTATCTTAGTAAAATGGTAAAAAAAACCATCAAATAAAAATTCAATAATTATTTAAGCTCTTAATATTTTATTATAATCAATCAAGCTCTAAATTTTTTATTTCGAATCAATTGAACTTATTAAACATCTATTTTTACCCTAATTAAACCATTGATTAAACGAAAATAAGTATTGAAGATTAATAAATTTTCATCTAATAAGAACTCAATTAGTAAAAATGAATGTTGATTGCAATAAACCAATAAAAACTTAAATGATTATTAATTTTTTTGTCTTTCTTCTACTCTCTCCCTTATGCCTCTAATGAAACCCTTAACTAATTCAAATGTTTATTTCATTTTGTTTCGCTGGTTACCCCTAAACCATTAGATTGTAAATAGCAAGGGAAATCTAATCAGCCTAACATGGTGCCCACAATTACCGGCAGCCCCCCAAATTAATCCACCATCCAACTATAGTACTTCTATATAAATCTTTGATTTCGAAAAGGAAAATGAAGAAGAAAATAAAGAGAATGACTAATAATGAATGTGTGGAAAATGAGGCTGTAAAACCAAAAAGTAACTAAGCTTAGCAATGCATTGTTCTTATATACATATAAGTAAATTCGGATATGGATTCAAATGGAGCAATAGGTATTTATGGTTATCTTCAAAAATTAAAAAGTAAAAAAAAATGAAAAATTTCATTGAAAATTTTTTCTATCGATAAAATTAATAAATCCATAAATAATTTTTTATATATATTATATGCGAACGGTAAATTGGCATAGCTAAGTTTCCCTCACAGTAATAAGCACTGCATGAGATACCTAAGTTAAGAGTGAAACTACAAAAATTTAATGGTTTCATCTTGAAGCCATAGTCGTCCCAGGTATACTCAGATCATTTAGCTCATTTGGATGATGAATCATTATTTACTCAAAGAATATGGATCTTTATAGTAATTTCTTTTTTTTTTCAAATAAAAAAAAACTAAATGATGATTTCTTTTAAAAGGAAAACAATAAGATTTTTTATATTGATTAATCTGATAAATTGAGCACATTACATATTTTGATCATATGATCTGAGAAAAAAATAAGAACTTGAGTTTGAAATAAGGTAGATACATATAAAGTATTAAACTGTTAAATTTATTAATTTTTATAAAATAAGAAAAAAAATAGAATATATATAAATCTATGGTGGAAGAAAGGTCCAAGGGCACCGCTAATGGTTGTGGCCACCCTGTCCTCCTTTTGACATGTCATTTTCTAATCTTAAACACCTTATGTAGATCTTTCTTTTCTACTCACCTTCTCAATTTTTGTCTTCTCTCTTCCTCTCTCTCTCTCTCTGTGATTTAAAGACAGATAGAAAATTTAACCTTTCTCTTATCTCACCTACCATTTGCACCACTCGATTCGTACAAAGCTGCCTCTCAGAGTATAAAAAGGGTTGAGGCCAACCCAAAGGAGGAGCTGATTATGAGTCATATATAGTTTGTTGGTTTGATTTAGTTTATGGCAATAGCAGCAGCAGCAACCATGAGCAACGACCCCAATGATAATACCAATAACGTCGACGTTGACGACCACAACAACAGCAGCAACAGCAGTAAGGACAAAGATGACCATGAGCATGATATGGTCATGCCTGGCTTTCGTTTCCATCCTACGGAGGAAGAACTTGTAGAGTTTTACCTTCGCCGTAAGGTTGAGGGCAAGCGCTTCAATGTTGAACTCATTACTTTTCTTGATCTATATCGCTATGACCCTTGGGAGCTTCCTGGTAAAACTAAATACCCTTGTTTCCTATATTATATATAGCTGTTTCTAGCTACAAAAATCACTTTGATTGATGATTTATTTAATTTTATGGGCATCAGCCATGGCAGCGATTGGGGAGAAAGAATGGTTCTTCTACGTGCCAAGAGACCGAAAGTACAGAAACGGAGATCGACCAAATCGTGTTACGACTTCTGGCTACTGGAAGGCAACAGGAGCTGACCGCATGATTCGAGCAGAGAATTCTCGGTCAATTGGCCTCAAGAAAACCCTAGTTTTCTACTCTGGAAAAGCTCCCAAAGGCATCCGAACTAGTTGGATTATGAACGAGTATCGCTTGCCTCACCACGAAACTGAACGCTACCAAAAGGTATCCATCTCTCTCTTTAGCATCACGCAGCCAGTTTACACTAAACCCTACTTTTCTATTGCTCCTAAAAATGCTTTTCAACTTCAATTGTGAGTCCCAAAGTTTCAGTTTCAGTAAACCAGGTGGATCCAAAAGCACCATGATTAGTGAAAGTTGAGTTTCCACTCTTAGTTGTTGTTTTTAGTTGATTTCTTTATTAATTAAATCTTTTTTTTAATATCTGAACTGAGAGGAACATGCATGAACTTGATTTCTGTATTAATTACATGTATTGAATACTGCTGCTTGTTGTCATAACCGCAACCGATGCTCAATGTCCGAAAACTTTTGATTTAGGCTTCCATGATATCGCTTCGTCCTTCATCAGCTACTTATTTTCTTTTTCAGGCTGAAATATCGCTTTGCCGCGTGTACAAGAGAGCTGGAGTGGAAGACCACCCTTCACTCCCACGTTGTCTTGCAACAAGGCCATCGGCCTCATCGAGAGGACAGCTGCAGTCACAAAAGAAATATCCTCAGGATGCTGCTCAACAGTTAGCCATGGAAAGGTTTCAAGCTTTCGGAGGAGGACAATCACAATCACAACAAATAGAGATTGAAAAGATAAGTGAGACTGATGGAAGCAGTAGTAGTACTTCTGATCATGTTACAACGGCTCTCCGACTTTCCAAGCAGAATGTGTACCGTCCGATGGTTCCTATAAGCACAACACTTGGGTTACCATCTGGATTAATTGAAGAGGAAGGATTGTTCTTAAATCATCAGTCTAAGCAAGGCTGCAGCTCTTTACTTCCCAATTGCACAACTCTCTTTCCAATAGGCTCTTCTTCTGTTTCCTCAAACGTTGTTGACGATCTCCACAGGCTAGTAAGCTACCAACAAGCTACAATGAATCAGCATCAATACTACAGTACTGATCATCATCAACAACAACAACATCAATGCGAGTTTTCTATGTTGCCCCCACAATCACAGGCACAGCAGCTTTCTCTGAATATGCTACCCAGCTCACTTCCAACTGCCTTCTCGGACCGGTTGTGGGAGTGGAATCCAATCCCAGAAGCAAATAGGGAGTACAACATCAATCCCTTCAAGTAGCCTGTGTAGTGTACTGCATGCATATACCATTCATATATATTCTGTATGTTGCTACTACTCCTTAATTTCTCTGCTTTTATTTTCACCATCTCATGAGTATTGCTAGCTAGCATTCAGATATTATAACTCATATCCATCAGTACTCTTTGTTTGTTTCTCTATTAGGGTTTTGGGTTTTTATGAGAGGTTGTTTGATTCACTTAAGTAATCATTTCTTGCTGGGATTTAGCTAGATAGGGTAGTGCAACAGCCCCAGGCTCCAACTTAAAGAAGAAATATGTACTATTATTATCACTTTAGAGATCATATATTGTGTAGATCCTGATGACAAAATTATGTTTCCAGATGCAATTGAATCTAGTTAAATTACTTACAAAAATCTTTTTTTGATAATTAAAACCGTAGGATTTGAATCTTGATTATTAGAACTAAAAATTTAATATTTTACCAACAAATCACACTACTATTGATTAGATTACTTTAAATTACATTTTCTTTAATCTTTAAAACAGTAGGGCGGTGGGGTGAACTTGTATAATCAGTGTAGATAAGAGACTGATGATGGTATGATTAAATGTTCCCAAAGATTATTAGAAGAGTATTGCAGAAGTGGTCTGGGGTTGGATCAGTTAGGACCCATCCCACAAACTGACAACCAAACATCCGCCATATTGAAGACATTAAACATTCTCTTGTTTTGATGCTTTTGTTGGGGAAGGAAAATTATTCATGGATCTTTTACACTTAGGCTAAAAGGTAAGCAAATGAAAAGCGAGAGCAAACACACAATTCAAGAATATTTCATGTACAAATTTTTTTATTATAATTCAATAATTATTCAATTACAATAAAAAAATTATATAAAAATTTATCATGATTAATTAATTATAATATAATAATTATAAGTGATATACTCCCGTATATCTATCGTACGACTAATTCTGATCTTTATTTGGCTAAAATTAAGTCGTTGGATTTAGAGACGACCCCTCCCTCCAACGACATTAAAGAGTAATACATATAGAGCATGGATAACCTGGTCTAGTTGTCTACATGCAGCAACGGAGGTATAGGGGGGCATAGCTGTATTTAGGGTGTGCCGTCAGCCGCTGCTGCAAATGCAAAGTCAGGAAAAACCGCATGTGCACACTTGGTGGTGGGCGTACTTGCTTCATTGTGCGCCCATGCGGCTTTGTGGCTGTGGCCTTTCTGCCCTTTAGTTTAGAGCTAAAACCAGAGAGGTCCATGCTACGACTGTCCTCCTATGACCTAATACTTTTATTTGTAGCTCATCTCTTTATTCCTTAGCCGAATGTTAATAAATGCATGAAAATATTATAACCACATGCTTAGAGTTGTCACAAAGGATGATCCAAAGAATTTTAAGCCTAAAAGAAAGGGCGAATAGCAAATGCAGGCCCCTCTGTTCAAGTTAAAATTGCCATGCCTATACAAGTACACTTCTCTTGTCAGATAGGTCAGATGGGGTCAGTTAAACCTTTCTGCCGATCGATTGGCCGTTCTTGCTGTTGCTCCCTCCGGCTATTCTAGGAACAGACCGATGCATGATCCGGATGCGAATTCCACCCAAGTCAAAATCTTCCTTCAAAGATATTGTTATAAATCTTATATATGTATCAGAGAGCTGGGTCATCCCACTCATGAAGGCTACAAATGTGGGAGGCCTGACTTTCACCTGAGTAAGTACTTGATCTTGGTTTGAGCACCCTGGTCTTTCCAAGAATTCCTGCTCATAACCTGACCAACAAGAGAAACAGATTCAAACAGACGAACAGACACCATTCAATTACTAATTACACTTTCAGCGCTTTAAGATAAGAAAACAAAAGATATTGGACGCAGCCTTGCGCAACCAACGGTTAAGTCGTGCAGTGGACAACCATAAACACCACTTCTAATGTGTATCAATGACTTGCAGAGATGAAAACTACCGGGATCCCAGTTACCTGTTGGCAAGGCCATGATAACATAAAATTATATAATGGTACTCATCACCAATTTGAATACATAAAAAATCAATGATAGGTGTGTTAATGCATCTACAGAAGATCATCCTACAATGTGTCTACTCTAATTTTTTGAACAGGTTCATATAACTAGCTCTCTGTGGCCTCACTTAACTCTCATTTTTTGAAAGGAGACAAAAATTCTACACTGAAACAGTCAAATGTGCATTTTCCTACGCGCTCAATATTCTGCCACAAGTGCTTCTATAATGAACTCCCAAAATCTAAACAAGTGTAACTTGCCAGATTAATCTATTGCAATAACAACATCTTTGATGCTTCTTATGCCAAATGTTATAGCAGTTCACACCTAACACAATTCCCAGCCTTTGTTACCATGCCAAACAGTCATTTAGCTTACTCAAGCCATTAAAATCATTACCCATTATCCCTACAGTATCACAGAAAACTCACAGTTTTTCTAGCCAGGCATACAATGAAAAGCACATAACATCATTTTTTTTCACACATTCCACTATTTTTTATGCACTGTACAGGACCTTCTAAAGACAAAATGCCTTTACTTTGCTTCCCTCAAAGAAATTAAAATATTTAAATGCACACAATTTTTGTTCCAAGTAGTAGATATAAAAAGATTCTTTAAAATATTATCAAAATAAAAATAAAGATTAAGCTGACAAACCTGGGTATAACCATCTGAATTTCTTGAGGAACAATTCCTTGACCTTTTTATATAATATATAGAATTTCTTTTCCCCTTTAGAAGACCCATCTTGTTCACAATTACGACCAGACCTCGACCTTCTTCCACTGCTTCTCTTGCTATAATTACTTCTGCTTGTGTCATGCTACACCTAGCTTTTGCAATCTGACCATCATCCCATGGACATCACAACCATAAGTATTAGACGTATAGAAAAGCTCTCCCTGCTGTGCATGTGTTCCATAGCATCAAAATTTTAAGCTACTATTTGTTGTACCTTCAGAATGAACATGAACCACCACGGGAACAAAAAAGAAAGAAAAGAATAACAAAATCAATTCTAAAATTCTAAGAAATTTGCAGCACTCAGTTCTTAAGATTTGACAATATATCAATTCGACTATAAATAACAAGGATATTTATAGACTGCTCAGTAACAACTTTGTAAATAAACAAGATTATTGAACGTAACTTAAATTCCCTAAAACAGATATACAAAATTACAACTGAACCCATGGTATATATATACAACTAAAAAAAATGGATCCATGATATACGCCTCTTAAATCTGCAACATTCCTCCCCTGCATCATCAATAGATTACACGGTTCACAGATTGACCAAGGCAAAAGGTCCCAAATGACTAACCGCTATTTCCCTTGATTTTAGCAGTCACAATCAGTCTCCAACACAAAGAAAATCCAATGCTTCCAAATAATGATGCACCAATTATATCCATCATATCATAAAGGATTGACCTCCAAAGACAAATCATTTTAAAGATATGACACGGTATAATGTATGACAAACCTCTTCAGCATCAAGAACCAAAGCAACTACATGAGCTCTCATCAGATTTTTTCTTGATAATGCTCAATGAAGCCGGTCCTTTCTGCCAATCAACTCTTTGCACCCAACCAACAGTATCAACCTGAGATATAAATCACAGCAAAATCAAAATAACAAATGCTTGAATTAAAGATTGGTTCATCCAAAGACTTAAGACCAAACAACTACAAAAAGAATTAAAGCAGACGGTATCAGACTAGACCTAAAACAAATAGGGTGGAGTAGCTCTTCACTGCAAATCCAGCCTATTAACCTTCCTTCTAGCAATGATTAGGTATATTCTCTAGAAAGGTAAAGAAGTTGGTTAATGTTGCATGGCATGAGCTAGGAAATAAAAAAAAAGGAATGGTCTGGGTCAAGAGAAGAGGCTCTGTAAATTTTGGATTTAGAATTGTCATGATGATAATTGAAGGAAAACTCACCTTATGAAAACTTCCTGGAAGATAGTACTCAGGAGAACCTCAATAATTTAGATAGTAAAAGAAAAAACTGAAATGGAATCAATCATCAACTTTATGAGAGTTCAATTTTGGTTGACATTATTTTTTACTTTCTCTGAAAAAGCAAAAAAAAAAAAAAAATCTTTTGGGTTCGACAAGTTTCAAAATTTTCAGGAAATATCAAGAAACTGGGCAGCTTATGTTTAACATAGGCACTTTTGATTTACATCAGATCCCAACGGTCACCTGACAAAAAAAAGAGTTAAAACAAGCAAAATATTTATACCAGATATATAATTCTTCCTTGATATTGAAACTGTGCCCTCACTGAATCTCTATTCAACCAAAATCTAGTCAAAACTGTGCTTCCTTGATGACCAAATGCTCTTATTAACTAAGGCCATATTGATAATACAACTATAAAGACTTTTAAGATTTTGTTTGAAAGCCATATAGTGCTCGTTTTCATTAAAAATTGATGAAACATTTACTTAATTGAAACCTTCTCTTTAGATTTTCATTGGGGTCAATACAAAAAATAAAAATTACAAAAAGTTTTACTATTCCATATATATAGACAGACACACACACACACACATAGCATTTCTAGAGCTCAGCAGGATCAAATGACCCCACTCAAATCTATGTACCACGAGTGCCTTCAAAAGAAGAGTACAGAATACCAGGTCTATATTCCTACAAATCCACATAGTTAACATATGAAAGTGAATATCCTATAGCCTTAAGCTCCATTTGTATGCACTCAATAGTATGTTTGGGTATCAAATCTACGCTACAGGAGTATCTGATAAACCATTGAAATGAAAATTTTTAACAGCATAATGTTTTCAATATTTTAATGGTTTACTGCTTTCAATGTGTATGATAACTTACTCTAAAAACCCCCTTAAATGAATGATTTAAAAAAAAAGTGTTCAAAATTTTAAGTAGTTAAAAGCTACTTAGTAAATTCAATCATTTTTAGTTGAAGGAAAATTTTGTCATTTATTTATATTAACCTTATATTCTTTCCTTTTCAACTATTTATTATTATTTTTTAACTTTTACTAATGTAAAATACTTAATAAAAAATCATCAAAACATCTATTCAGTATTTATTTTTCAGTACAATCCCAAACAATTTTTACAGCAACAATTCAATACTTAATTTTTTCAGTTTATCAAATAGCACCTATGTTTAACAAGGCCCAAGTAAGCAAATACTAATCATAAAACAACAGCTACCTTGATCATGAAGGACAGTTTAAGAATAACGGATGTGCTTACCATCTAAAACTTTGACCATATAACCTCAAGCATTGGCCAAAGAATTTCATAAAGTGCCATCATACCCAGCCCAGTCTCAGGAGATATAGCAATTGGTTCCCCAAATCCTAATATCTGGGCGTCTATAGCAGCTTCAGCAAAAGAATTTGTATCATAATGAAGTAATTCAGATTTATTCATGGCTTTTATAGGATTGATCCCGGTGCATGCTTGTGCAACAACTTTCCAACCTCCTGATCCAATGGATGCAGTCCAGTTCTAAACTCAAGAAAGTACAAAGGATAAATTGGAATTTGCGCATAGGGGAGAAAAAACCCTCAAAACAATGCCCTAAAAACTTTTGCACCTGAATAATACAGAGAAGATAGAAGTGCACAGCAGCAAAAGCAAGATTGCCATTGAGAGATGTTGAAGAAATTGATGTGATGTAATAAGTCTTCTCAAAATTTTTAGATAAAATATTTAAATATAAATAATAGAAAAATGTCTTAAATTTTAAAATTAATCAGGTCGTTTTACAATATTATACTAAATAAAATATGGTTATAATAAAGTTAGAAATATGTATCAGCAAATCAGAAGCATACAATTGACTTAAATCTCTATCTCATAAACCGGAAGTTTGTCCAGCATAAATGGACAAATTCACATATTGTTTTCTCACCTTCCAAAACAAAGAAATTCTATTTCATAGTTTTTTTACTTCTATTTTGCTTCACACCCTGTTTATGAATTATTAAAAACAATGAAAAAAAAAATCAAAAATTATTGCATGGATGAGGATTATGAAAACTATAGTTTCTGAAGTTCTCTTTGGGATTTTAAAATAATAATAAAAAAAATCTCTCTTGGTTTGTATACAAAAACACAATGCATTTTGTTTCACTTTTACCTCTTTCCAATTAAAAAGTTTTGAAATGAGAATTATGTGCTTAACCACTAAATAAGAGTCATTCCTGGAAAAATTTGGACTGAAGTTTGTGTAGATGTGTATGAGAGAGAATAAAATCATTAAAAACTTAGCAGCATGAAAAATTACAAAATTTTATGCAAAAACAATGATATATCAGATTTCTTCCTATTAAGTAATAAATCAAGCGGGAGATGTCATCAACTAAGAAGCAGAGAAAACATGGAACAAATTTTGCTCAGCCAAACCATATATGCAACGCAACACAAGCCAAGAGGAGCCAGACAAATGTTACTCTTCAAACCACTGTCATACACAAAAATAAATGACAAAACAAAAATGTCCTATGATGCAGCAATTTTCATTAAAAATCTCCATAGATAGATGATATGCTCAAAGCTAACCAAATTTACCTGTTATTCACCCAATGTTATATGTGATTTATGTGAATCCCTTGTGTGTTAAAGTAATTTCACTGCCTTAGAGCTTTCAAGTTCACACCAGACTTTGCTTAAATTGCACCCAAATTATGCACGCTTGGTGTTTTTTGCTGGTGACATCAAGAAACCTCAATTTAGAGAATTTTTTTGTTTTTAACTATCGGCTGGATAAACCCTAGCATTAGATTGTTTTCCAAATCCCTATTAGATATTTAGGTATGTTGTAGGGCAATAACGATTCAACCATATTTTAATTTCTTTGAATACATCATAAGTAAATATCTAATTCATGTACAAAAAGGTGATCCACAATGAAAACTGACCTGACATCAATTAGAAAAATAGCAAGTTTGAGTTCTAGTCAGCACATTTGCAGTCATACCAGCTGTTCTACTAAAAATAGATCCCAGATGTTGCTTCGGTTTCCAAGCCAGCAGAATCCAATACACTAAACATCAGATCCCCCAATTTAGCATTCCATTCCCTTATGTCTCTAGTGCCATGATCATCAGGTGTGCTGTAACGCAAGAGCCTCTCTCCCCCTTATCAACCTAAACAATAAATAAATAAGGACACAAAATAGGGAAAATTATATCATTAGTTAATTATAATTGTGCTTTTAAAGTGGTCAATAAATTACTAAAATTTTCAATTTGTCATTAAAATTTAAATAATTATTTCACTTAATTCTATTGACGTGACATCTATTAAGAGTTACGTGACATTATTATATCAATAAAATTTAATTTTTAAATTTATAATATCCCATCAATAATATCACGCATATAAAATGATCTAACATAATTGTATGACGCTGACAGCTGATGTGGCATTGCCACATTAACCTTTATAGAAACTAATGGTCCGATGACAAAAAACCACTAACTCAAACTTCCGTCAAGGCGTCAACTCAAACTTTAATTTAAATTAAAATTTTAATAGTCTAGTGACTATTTTAATAAACAAATGATATATTTTACCCTAAAAAATTCCTGTGGGCGGGCGAATTCAAGAAGGACAGGAGATTGAGAGGGGAGCTTACTGACGGGTTAAACAATGCAGACTTCCCGACGTTGGGGCGAACAACAATGATGACAATGTGAAGCAGATTAATGTCAAATTTTGGTGAAATCAATGGGTTTTTGGTGAGACACATCATCGTCAGAGAAGCGTGCAAAATCGCATAGTAGCTTGAATCCAACTGCTACAGCTGTTAAGCAGAAGAGAAATTCCATGGCTCCTGAAAACAGTTGACCCTGAGAAAACCAATCAGAAGCTTACTGACCCAAAAATTCAATCAACGGAATAATCTTCAGAACCAAAAAAAAAACTGACTGACCGAAAAATGAAAAGATGGAACAAGCAGATCGGATGGAAATGGAAGAGCATCCTATGCAGCAGAACAGAACAGCACTCAATGATTCTTTTTCTTATTTTAAATTTCAGCAACAAGAAAGAAGTGAAAGGAGTTGAGCTCTTGTAGGAGAAAGAAGAATAGAAAAAAAGGAGATTGAAAATAAATGAGGATAAAAGAAAATTAAAAGGAAATCAGAATAAAAATGACATCTATTGAGAGAGAGAGAGAGAGAGAGAGAGAGAGAGAGAGAGTACGCGGAGACTAGAAAAGTGAGAGAGTGAGATTGTGTGTGGTCTGTGAGGGCGACAACTGAAAGTGAGGAGTGCTGGGTGCGCATGCCTTTGAAGTAAAAATATTGTGTTTGGCAAGAGGAAAAGTGAAAAGAAAAAAAAAGATAGAAAGAAAAGACTACTTTCTTTTCTTTTTTTTTTCTTTTAATAGAATAAAATGAGAATTTGTGCATTACCATTCCCTTCAAATCATTTTTTTTTAAATGTGAGAAAAAAATACACATTTAATTTAAATTAATAAATTCATTTATAATTTGACTTCTAACTTTTTTTTTTTTTAATTTTCATCTTTATATCAAATACAATAAAAGAAAAATATCCTTTTTTTCCTCAGTTTATTTTATTTCTTTCATTCAAGTATAACGTAAGAAAAGACTACTTTATTTTTTTTATTTTTCTTTTACTAGAATGGAAAAGGAAGATAAAATTAAAAAAAACGAAAATTCAAACATGAGAAAAAAACCACACATTCATTTTAAACTAATAATGTTATTTATAACTTCACCTCTATCCTATTTATTTTTTCCATTTTTAGTCTTTTATATGAAAAAAAAAATATTTTTTTCTTAATATTTTTTTCTTTCATTTAAGTACAATGTAAGAGAACAATCCCACATTGTACATTAATTAATTTATAGGAGTGTCAAAAAATTTATTATCGTAGTAAGAATAATTTTTAAAGTAAATCTAACGATTCATATATTTATATAATATAAAATATATTTTTTATTTTATTAAATTTATATATAATTATTGTTAAAATTTTAAATTATATTATTTTTATATTATGTTTGTATCATATTATTATATCATATTTAAAATTATCATATTTATTTTTTTTACATATATTACCAACAATTATCTCATTTTATCTTGAGTGCATTATTTTCCTGTAGTATGGGAAGGGAACAGGCAAAAGAATTGTAGGCCTCGTTTTGCCCATACACAAATCTCGGTCAAATAGTACTAATTTTTGCGGCTTCTATTTAACAGCGAAAATAGAGAAGCTAAAACTAATTGCTAAAAGGAGATATTAAAGGCAATGCATGGTCAAAGTCTTAGAATTTTGATGCCTACATAGATATCAGAGGAAGAGAGGTTTTTAGGCCTCTCGAATTGCCTCTTCGTAAATAACAATTCAATGGGTAGTTTTTGTTAGGAAACCAAGGCTTTGAATGTTCATTTTTGCCTTTTAATTTCTTTGAAAAAATGTGGAATGAAAGGGGACATGCCTTTTCTGCAAAGAAAGGAATGGAGAATGAGCTGGTAGCAGTAGCTGTAGACAAGGATAAGGGGAGCCGACATGCTCTCAGATGGGCAGTGGAGCATCTTCTTTCAAGAGGCCAAACTATTGTTCTTATTCATGTTCATAAAGTATCACCAAATCTTCATGGAACACGTACATTTTCAATGCTTGTGCCTCAAAATAGTTTAAACAATATATTTTCTCAAGGAAATAAATGATATCTAGCTTGTCAGCTCAATTCATATCAAGTTTATTGTTGTACAGATCATAATCATAAAGGCGAAACAAGCTTACATATATCAAATAAACATACGGTGGGAAAGACATTCGAGCAATTGTTCCTCACCTTCCATTGTTTTTGTACTCGAAAAGATGTAAGTTTATCAATAGAGTGCAATACTTTGAGTAACTGCAACCATTTCTTTCACATTTCTTTGTGATTGATAGGTTCAAATGTCGTATACAACTTAATAACTATTCGATTTGCTGTGGCTTAATTGGTCTCCTGTTTGTTATCCTTTGCATCAGATACGTTGCCTTGATGTCGTACTTGAAGATGCTGATATTGCAAAAGCATTGACAGAATATGTTTCTTATGCTGCAATTGAGAAATTGGTTCTGGGTGCCCCATCTCGAAGTGGATTTATGAGGTATCTGCTCCTTGTTGCCAACTTAACATTCATGCAATAAGGTTTTGATAGTGTTATGATCAAAATGAGAACTCAACATGATTGGCCTTACAGAGCAACAAATCTGGCTTTACATCGGTCTAGGATTAGCTTCATTAATTTTTGGTGAGAAGATATTCTGTTGCAATGGCTACTTGTCTTCTCAGGGTTAGCTTCTTCTCTAGTAATTCAATCTCCGTGAAGCCATATTTGCATGATGGCCTATGAATTTTATGCAACATATGAAAGCATGCATATATGAGCACGCAAGCATCATGGACATTTGATCAATAAGCTGAATTTGTTAATTCTTGGAAACTAATGGATGTCGATATATAGAATACGTAAAAGCGGGTATGTACTGTGACCAATCTCTGGTATTTTGAAACTTCACTACAACGCAACCGTTAAGGCTTTTGGTGATGATTTTTTTGTGATCATGAGCAATTTCGTCATGAATATTAGGATTAGTGTGACGAAATTTTTACCTGACACTTGTGATGTATTGTTATTCCGACACTATGATAACAGTAATTGTGATGGTTTAAGCTGCTTATTCCCAGTGCAACACATTTATAAATGCAGTTTTACTAAGCTTTGGTGTAGCAAGTGCAGAAACCACCTTACCAGTTGAAACCAATTTAACTAAAGATATATGGTGGGGGTAACATGCGCTACCTAGATTAACAATTACAAGAACAATGGCACTTCAACATTGAAATTCTTGCTTAGAGATGTAACTGAAGAGCAACTAAGTTAAGATGTTATGACTTCTGGCTTTTGTGGTGCAGAAAATTCAGGACCGACATACCAAGCAGTGTATCAAAAGCATCACCTGACTTCTGCACTGTATATGTCATTTCAAAAGGAAAGGTCTCTTCATTGAGAAATGCTTCTTGTTCAGCTCCATTCTCCTCCCCGTTACTTGATCATATAAAGAAACAAAATAGCAAGTCTGTTGACAAGCACTCCCCACAAAGTGCTGTTGTAAAAGGAGGTTTGTTTCCCTCCCACAGTACTGTCCTTTCAATTTAGTCCACTAACTGAAAATGCTATATTTGAATCTTGAATATACAGGTGATCAGAGGAAAATGGTCAAGTCTCGAACTTCAGTTGACAGCGGTACCAGGTATGTCTTGAGTGAATTTTAAAAGACTTTAGTAAATAGTTACCAGAGAAATCTACGCAGGAAGAAAAAGAATTCTTGTAGGAAATGGGATGAACAAGGAAGTTGTAATTTTCATGAACTTAAAAGCTCGAAGGTGATATCATTTTACTACTAAACTAACCATCATATTTACAAAACCAGGTCACATTTCCCCAGTACAAGAGCCAGTCTTATGAAAGCATTTGCGGATTTCTCAGAATCAGATACTGACATATCATTTGTCAGCTCTGACAGACCAAGCACTGACCGTAACTCTTCTTTGTTATTTGATTCATTTATCGATTCTAGCCAAAATTCACGGATATCAAGTAGCACAGATCGTAGCCTAGGATCGATGTGTTCAGGAATCAGGTGGAATGATCAACATATTTCTACACATGACTTCTCATCAGTATCACATGAATCATCTTGTTCATCTCAGAATCTGGTAGGTTAATCACCATGTCTAGCACAAAAGACTAGCTTTGAGATAGCATTCAGGTTCCAATCATCTCTTATGATCATTGCACATTTTGAAAATGCATGTCAAAGTTTAAGCATATAAAAATACACAGAGAAAGAATCTAAGAAATTTTTATTGGATCAAAATAAGGTTGAATTGTATTAATCACAACTGTTAAATCAAGACTGAAGGAAAATTAACACAGAGATGGTTAGTTTATTTTGTTCAGTTGATAAGAATCATAAAATCCAGCACCATTGCTGTAATTGATAAAGTTTTAGTCTCAATGTTAATTTTCAACATGTTTATACCAATCATGGTAAATTTTCTGCTAATTTGATCTACAAACAAACAGGAGGAAGTGGAAGCTGAAATGAGGAGACTAAGGCTAGAATTGAAGCAAACAATGGACTTGTACAATATTGCATGTAAAGAAGCCCTTTCAGCAAAACAACAGGTACATGAAAGTCATCGTTTAGTACATCCTCTTTGTGAAATTTTTGGATTGTAAAGATGGCCTATGATGAGATATTTAAGTTAGGCAATGCAGCTGAATCGCTGCAAAAATCAAGAAGAACAAAGATTGGAAGAGGTACAACTAGCTGAGGAAGCTGCAATGTTAGCTGTAGAGGAAGAGAGGGCTAACTGCAAGGCAGCCATAGAAGCAGCTGAAGCAGCACGAAAATTTGCAGAATCTGGACAACGAAGAAGATTGAATTTACAAGGGGAAACCCTAAGAGAAACAGTGGAAATGAAGAAGGTGTTAGACACTCTATCCAATCATAACATCAAATATCGAAGATATACCATCGAGGAAATTGAAGAAGCAACAGATTGCTTTAAACCATCTCGAAAGATTGGAGAAGGAGGTTATGGCCCTGTCTTTAGGTGTTATCTTGATCATACACCAGTTGCAGTTAAGGTTTTACGTCCAGATGCTGCTCAAGGGAGATCACAATTTTTGCAAGAGGTAAGAAACTAATACTTGATTAGGCGATTCTTAAAAGACATGTACTATTTGAAGTTTTTGGAAACCAGGAAAACATAAAGAATTCTAAACAAAAAATAAGCTTCCCTTGATCAAGATTCTTAGAAATGTCTAGTTAACTTAACAAACCTGTGGTAAATTAGGCTTGTTTAGCCAACAAGGTTGGTTAAGCTGATAAAATTCGAATACTTTGCTTGTAAAGTTTAAGTTCGAAGCTCGCTGTCAGCAGCAGACTCCATTGGTGCCTGATCTACAAACCCAACGTAAGTCATTTTCAGACATGCAGTCTGCCCTGACCTTGGACTAGGGAAGCATCCCTCATTCTAAACTTTTATGTAGCAAAAAAAGTTAGGCTTTTTTATACAAACGTGATTTCCTTTCTATAAATTCTCACATGACCAAGCTTCTCAAGGGATTGTAAGTTTGATGTCTGAAATATTTAACATCTCGCTGTGGATTATTCTTGTGCAGATTGAAGTACTTAGCTGCATCCGCCATCCTAACATGGTTCTTCTTCTAGGTGCCTGCCCAGAGTATGGCATTCTAGTGTATGAATACATGGGTAGGGGAAGCTTAGAAGATTGTATATTTAGGAAAGGGAACACCCCACCATTGTCTTGGCAACTCAGGTTCCAAATAGCTGTAGAGGTTGCCACAGGCCTACTTTTTCTGCACCAGACAAAGCCAGAGCCAATTGTGCACCGTGACCTTAAGCCTGGCAACATTTTGCTAGACCAAAACTATGTTAGCAAGATTGGTGATGTTGGATTAGCTCGGCTTGTCCCTGCTGTTGCTGAGAATATGACACAGTTCCACATAACTTCAACAGCTGGAACTTTTTGCTATATCGACCCAGAGTATCAGCAAACAGGAATGTTGGGCGTAAAATCTGATGTGTATTCTTTAGGGATCTTACTTCTTCAACTTATAACGGCCAAGCAACCGATGGGATTGGCTCACCACGTTGAGCGAGCAATCGAGATGGGCACATTTTTTACAGAGATGGTGGACCCTGCTGTGACTGACTGGCCAATCGAAGAAACCTTGTCATTCGCAAAGCTGGCACTTCAATGCGCCGAACTCAGACGGAAAGACAGGCTAGATCTTGGCAAGGAAGTCTTACCCGAGCTGTGCAGGCTCAGAGAGATTGCTCAAGAGAATATGAACCATTTCTTTCTTGCTGGTAGTGTCGGGCCTTCCCCTTGATTACCAAGCCAGGTTTCTATTTCACGCATTATCATGTGAATGCTTAAAAAAAGGTTAAAGTTTTAAGTACTCTAAATTAGTTTTATAAATTTTTAATTAATTTTAAACTCGTGTGATGCAAGTATGCAATTATATATACATATATATATATATAACTCAATTATATATTATATAATTAATAAATTTTATATGAAAATAAAAAAATTTCAATGTAAAATAATGAAAAAATAAAAATATTATGGAGTAATATGTACCTATATAATATAAAGAAAAATGCTTTATATCATATCTCATTTAATAGTGATATTAATATAAAATTAAATAATGTTTGATTCTAAATTATAGAAATTTATTCCGTTTAAAATCAATTTTTTTTAGAAAATTTTGCTTGGTATTGTCCCTTGCTTTGGTGCAAGACATCTCGCAATAACAACAGCAAACCCTTGGATAGGTGGTGCCTATTCTTGCATTATATTAACAAAGGTCAAAATAATTCAAATTAAATTTGCATTCTTTAGCAAATAGGATTTAAACCATTTATTACATATTAAATATGAATAAAATTGTAAATAAAAAGTAAATAAGAGAGCAAAAACTTATGCCTAATTTTGACAAACTCCAAATTTAACTAAAATATCTCATCATATTCACATCCATTATTAGTCATGAAGAAAATTGATAAATTTCAATAACTAAACACTAAAAAGAGATAAAACATATGAAATTATTCCATTCAAAAGTATGTAAAAAAAAAGCTAATATTGAAAATGAATGGATAAATGGAGTACAAACATGCATAAAAAGTGACTAAAGGAGAAACAAAATCAATCAATAAACATGACAAACAAAAAGTTTATCAACATAAAAAGATATGTAACTTAGTGATTAAAATTTTCTTGATCATAATGAAATTAATACATTTGGAGGTTTTTGAAAACTAACCTCCTATTACTTTTTGTATATGTGATTCTCTATTTATAATAAGAATTTGAAAGACTTTATATAAATTGAAAGTAATTTATACAAAAAAATTATAATGGATTATTAATTATTTATGTAATATATATCTTTTATTTTGAAAGTCTACACAATATTTTGAAAAGCTTTTGTAAGAGAATAAATTATACCAATTGTAATTAATAATTATATAGAAAGAAATATGAAAATATGTTTCCAACTAATTAAACTTTTATTTTAAGTTTGAATTTTTAGCATTATATGCCTTATATATTCATTTAGGTTAATAAATATATAAATTATTTCTTAATTAAATACTAAAATCACGACCATTAAATAATCAATGCTTTCAAAGCATATTTCTTATCTATAGTATAAAAGTTTGATATTTAAAAGTAAGAACTGAATTTGGTTGAAAATGATTTAAGATAATTTAGTTGTAACACATTTATAAACGGCAAAAATATTGGATATTTATAAGAAATAAATAACCTAATTTAGCCAAATAAATATATTTTAAATTAATAAAATATATATGAAGTCAAATCAAAATAATTAAATGTAGGACACATGGTGATTGTTAAAAATAATCTACATGTTAAAAAAATAGATTATCCACATTAGATTTTTTTCCTTTTCTACAAAAAGTTTTAGTTTTTATATATTTATATAAGATAAGATGAAACATAGGACTTATTGATTATAGACTATATATATAATCTAACATTATAATGTATGATTGATTTTATAATAAAAACAAAAATCTAACATTATAATGTATTATTAATCTTATATAAATATATAAAATCATTATATTATATATATATGTTTATACATTAATAACATCTATTACTCAGTTGGATATCATATTTAATCAAATATGAATGTATCAAATAATTGATTAAGAAATTAAATCTTGACCATAATTTTAGTGGTTATTAAATTTTTTATAATATTTCTAATTAGATTTTAATAGAAATTCTTCAAATAATTAAAAAAATATTTAATGATCATAATTATAATATTTATTAATTCTATGAATTATTAAGAAATTCTTTGATTATAATGTATTATTGATTTAGCTTTGATTTATAATTTATGATATTTTATTTAAAACAAAAGGTAAGTCAATTGAAAAATTAAAATTATATATACAATTAATGCATTAAAATATTTTAAAAATTTTATAAAATTAAATCAATTCATATTAATTTAAAGAGAAATAAGTATGAATAAATATAATTAATACAGACATATGACGATTGATAACGGTTATCCTTATGTCAATATTACAAGTACCACATATAATTTTCATTTTTTGCCAAAAGTTTTAGCTTTTATATATTTATTTAAGATGTGACATTTAAATTGTAAATCTATTAATTAATATGATACTCATTTTAACATAGTTATTAGCTTTAAATGATAACACATGATGGATAAATAATATTTTAAGTACCACATTAATGAATAAATTTATAATTCAAATATCATATTAAAAAATTTTTAAATTTAAATATCACATTAAATATTTTATTCTAGTTTAGAAATTCTTACTTAAAATCTTGAATCACAAAGTAAAGGGATATGGTAAATAATTAATGCGTCTCTTGTTAAAAAAGTTATTATGGGAAATGATTGTTGAGTTGATATAGAATGTTATATTTTTAATTTTATAATTATAATTTTTAAAATTCAATTCTAAAAAAATATATGAAATAAATGAATAAATAAATAACATATAACAACACTAACTAATTCAAGCATAAATTAATGATTGTATAAGTAAATATCGTATTTTTTTCTTATTATAAAAGAGCCAATTAAGCTCCATAATAGAAGAGACAAAAAGCATAAAGATTAAGGAGCAATGTAGAAATGAAGTAAATGTAATGTTAATGTGTTTGCTTGAGGGCTTGGCATTAAGATTAGAAATGTCAATTTTACTCATATTCATTAAAAAATTCAATTTTTTATTTAAATGAAAATGAGAATGGGTATTACATTAATGAGATAGGGATGTGGATTGGTATGATTTTAAATTTTTTATCGATTACGAGAATGGGGACGGATAATATAGCACATGTTTCATACTCATACTCATACCCTGTATATTTCTATTTTTATATATTTAGTAAATAGATTTTTAATTAAATAATATAAATTATTATATTAATTAGAACTAATATATTTTTATCTAAATATATTAATAGATATTTATAAAAATATTACATAAGTATGTAAGATAAAAATTTAAAAAAAATAAAAAATAAATTTATTTTTGTGGAAAACAATAAAATGTAATTACAAGATTTGGAAATAGGAAAAATTTTGCAAAAATTCTTTAGTTTCTAAGGGAGGGAAAAGGCATCTTCAAAGTTCTAAAAATTATTTTAGAATGTGTTACGATGAAAATTTTTAAAATTTTAAAGAATTTTAAAACAAAATATTTTAAAATATATTAATTAAATGTTAGCATTTGTGATTATATTATTTGAATAAGTACTTTTTAAAAAAAGATTTTAAATATTAAAATTTGATGAGATAAAAAAATAATTATATTAGAAAAATAATAACATTAGAGATAGAATAAGAAAAATCTAAAAACGCACAATATAGGTGTCATTTAACCCATTAATTTTAAATATTGAAATTTGCTTTATATCCTTATTTGATACCATTTGCCCTAAGAAAAATCTAAAAAACCACGATATAGCTTGGAATAATAAAAGGCAGTGTTTGTGTTAGTAAAAGCTTACTTAAGAGGTAAGCTACTTTTAAGAAAGTGGAACTTTCAACCAATTCTTCAATTGGGTATCCTCTGTATCTAAAGATTTTTTCATTTTCATTTGTATAAGAAATCAACAACCAAGCTAGAACCATATTCAGGTAACCCATATCATAAATTTTCAACCACTTATCATTATTTCCTATTGTTATCTACAATTAAATTCATGGTTAAAATCAAAATCAAATAATTTTTTTAACAAAATAAAAATACTAACAAATTGGTTTAATTTTTTAAAAAATATATAACCTTTTTGAAATTGGTGGCTTTGACAATGTCTTTGTTGGAGACATGGACCTGGTACTTCTTTCTAGTTTGTTCATCCATAATGGTTAAAGATTTGCCAAACCCAAAAATAAACATATACTTTATATATAATCAAGTAAGAACTCAGAGCAAATACACCCAACAATGAAAACAAAATCAAGCAATAAACACAATCAGAATCAAATTCACAATAGTACAAAAACAAAAAAAAAATTGAACAGCTTCAATTCTTGGATTTTCCTTTGAAATTTTTAAGTAGTTGGGGTCATTTAGCTTGTAGAAAAAAAAGAGCAGATCTTATATGGTTTTGGGTCGTGTCGACGATGCAAAACAATGGTCAATAGCTAGGTGATCCAGGTTGTATAATGATTGGCCAATTTTTGAGTTTTTATTCTTAGGCTGTTTGGTGTTTTAGAAAGAAGATAGGAAGAAGGATAAGAAAAAGAAAAAAGAAAGAAAGAAAGAAACAATGATGACCAGAAGTAGCCAACATCGATGTTGATGACAATGGGTTCACTGGTTTCTAAGATGAGTTAATTAGGTTTGAAAATATTATGAGAATTAAAAGCAGATTTTAAAAGAAACAAAAAAATTATGAGAAACAGATGAAGCTTTTTTGAATAAAAGCAGATAAAGCTTACAAAAGAAGCCTTTTGACTCCATAGTGTCTACGATTTCGATGAGAGAATTTACTATGAAACATAAAATTACCTTTAATTACTGGCCCAAAACAAAAAAACATAGATTGACAAAAAAAAACATCATGTATGAAAAAAATCCAAACATAAAATCAAAACCCAAAAACCACACAAAGAATAATTTATATAATACATTTAAAACAGAAATAATAAAACAAATAACAAACATGCACACAAACAATAATGTCAAAACAACTCAAATTTTGTGTTAAAATATGTTGAATTTCTTCGTTTAGGAAAAAAACCCAAAAAAATGAAAACAAAAAATGAAAAGGAAAAGATGGTTGTAGAAGCAACGTTAAAAGGATAGTGTTATTGAAAGCCATAGTGGAGTTTGGAATGTGAAAGAAGATAATTGCTTGGATAAGAGTTTTTATGTGGAATAAAGAGAAAATATTAAAGAGTTTTTGGCATAATCTCTATCCTCAATTTGTCATCTTATGACATTAATTACGTGCGCATGAAATTGGAGTCCCGAGGACTTTTTATGCATAGATATAGATATATTTAAGGAAAATAAGTTTTTCTAAAAATCTAAAAGAAATAATTAATAAATGAAAAAAATAAAAAATTCATAATTTAATTTTTTAAAAAATAAAAAATATAAGTGACTAATTGAAGGATAAATATCATTCAATTAATCTCCTCATTAATCCTAAAATTAATTCTTGGCTTTAAATCATTAACTATAGCCACTATGATCTCCTTTTAAACTTAATTATGTATATAAACATAGATACAAGTTACATATTGCCAAGCTAAAAAAAAAAAAGCTCTCGAATCTCAATTGCCAAAGTTGCCACAGGTTACATGTAAGAAAATTAATGGCAGCGCTGACATGCCAAAATAGCCCAAATTCTTTAATACAAAAAAGGAGATAGATTTCAAATATAATGATCTAAAAATCAAAAGAAAATTTTTTTGCAAACAAAAGAAGACAAAGAAAAATAATTGAAAAAAGATAGCAAAGATAGAGAAAAAAAAAACTTTAAAGCTTTTTAGCCTTTTTTTTTTTCGTTAATGGTGATTACTCGATTTCGCTGTGGCCATTGAAAACAGTATGTGTAAAAGTTTTAAAATATTTGTTCTTATAGATCTAACTAATTTTTTCCTTTTTGAGTATGAAATCATGCAATATTTTGAATTTAGTGTTTAGCTTTGGACCTTATGTACTTGAGGAGGTTCCTTCATTTTTTTCGTTATGTTGATGAAATTTCGAGAATGAAAATTGTTTGGAACCTGAGAAAATTGAAAATTTAGTGGTTGTGTTTACTAGGATTAGCTTTTTTGCTTTTACTAATTTTCATCTTTGTTATCGTAATTATAATTCACATTTGTAAAAAAATGGGAAGAAAGCAGAAAAAAGAAATGGGAAAAATATCATGATTCATTAATGATGAATTGAAATTATTATAATTTGAGTTGAATTAGTATTGTTATTGGTGTTGCTGTTTAGTTTTTCGGTATGCCAAAATGAAACAAAATTAAAAATTTTAGTATATTTTTGGCTAACCATTAGCTTCTAAATGTCTTTTCTGCAACGTCTTGCACTTTTATAGAAGATCTCTAGTTGGACAGTGAGGCAGTTGGTTAATTGGAGACCTAATAACATCTTGGTTCAATTTTGTGATAAGAAGTTTGAATATTTTAGTTTAAGGCTTTGCTTGACAGGAATGATGGAAAGGGGGAAGGATGAAAAATTTTCAATCTAATGGTTAAGTTCTATTACAACCTTCCCAACTTTGTTGCTTAACCATTGGATTTGTTGACTCAGTAATTTAAGATTTTGAAAATATTTTATGATTAAATATTAATTTTCAGTATAACAGGTGAGTCTTTTTTTTTATTATTTTTGAATCTTTTAATCCATGTAATTATTTTCCCAACTTTTTAGGTTTTGGATCTTTTTTTTCTTTAGAGACAATCATAAATGGGTTTTTTGCTGCTTAATATTGAGTATAAGTAAAGTGAGCATAACTACGATGTTAGATTTTCTTCTAAGTAGTGTAGAGTACTTTTATAGTCACATTGTCTGGGCCTATGGACCATGAATTTTGGGTTTCTTTATTTTTTTTTCCAAAAAAAGGTACTTTATTGAAAATATGCCTTCTATTTTAAAAAATAATAATTAATAAGAATAAGAAGAATAATAAGGATGGTAAACCCTCCTTCCCCTTCATGTTCATATAGCTGGAACATAATGTTTTGCTAGTAATTAAAAATTAGCCTTTGCTTGGAAACTAAAACATAAAATTAATAAAGATATAATTTTTTGTTGCTTTTGTATTTATTGGCTATCACTATATGAAAGCACTCGGTTGTTCTGTAATTGGCAATATTGAAAATTAAGATCCATTTTTCCATTTATTTGCTTAAAAGTGGCTTATTCATTAGTGAGATTTTGTATTTACTAATTTCCATCCTTGTTTGGTAAGGACCTTATGTTTGGCTCTCGTATTCCAACTTGTTAACTTGAGTGTCAGAGCACAATTGCTAAAGAACAACTCCAGCCTTTGCTTCTAATCAACTTTGAATTTGTGATTTTAAGTTATTGATATCCAATTTAAATTTGGTATGAACAAAGTGGATCTATATAAGTTATTTAGTCTTTCTTTTGATTTTTACTCCAAATTTCATCATGTTTTCAAGAAAAAAAAAACAAAAGAGGGAAATTGGTAATAAAAGAACATTTAAAAAGAAAAAAATTGAAATGAAAAGGTTTACGTTTTTTATGAATCCTATAAAAATTAAATATAAGTTGTATGTAAGAGAAAATATCAAATAAGAACAGAAAACTAAGAGTAAAATAAGAAAAAACTTAGATGCAAACCAGGTAAAATTTCTCTATATGAATAATGACATGGCTTGAATACTCCTTTTAAGAAAAAAAAAATGAAACTATTGTTATTTTGAAATAAAGATTTTAATTTATCTTAGAGGAGGATTATTTGCACCTTAACAATTACTTAACGCACTTTCATATTTTTTACACTTTATTTTTTACTCAACATACTTTACACTAAAAATACAAATTTACCGAAAACCCAAAAACCCATATCCCTTTCTTTCACAACCTATCTTCTCTTTTTTCCTAATCAATTTTAAGCTCAATCAAATCAAATTCAAATGAAATTTCATAAATTTAAAGTTAAAAAGCATAAAATCATATATAAATCGTTTGTTTTTTATGCTTTTTCATTTAATTTCGTATTAAATTTCATAAGATTTCGTGTTGAAATATTTGGGTGCGATTCAAAACTTTTAAAAATAAAATTTTGAAAGTTCTTAAAGGTTTTCAGAAATAAATTTTCAAAAATTCTGATTGTGAATTTTGATAACAAATTGATTTTTTGTTGGGAAGAAGAAGAGAAGAAAATAGCAAGTACATTTTAAAAGGGAAAAAAAGAGAAAAAAAGGAAAAAGAAAAGAAAGATCAAGAAAAAAAAACAAAAAGAATAAGAAAAAATGCATGTTTTTAGGAAGAAAATAAAAAGATAATTGACTAATAGATATTTAAAATTTTTTATTAAAGATTAAATTTATGATCAAGGACAATTTCAGGATTTATAGTTAGTGGGGGTAAATATTTTAAATTAATTTAAAATTTTTTTATTGAAATGCAAATTAATATAAAAAATTATAAATAAAATCAAGATGTGTAACATATTTTCTGTACACAAAAAATTTTTTTTGTTATAAAAATAATTGTTGTATAACTAAAATTAATTATATGATTCTTAACGAATATAGTCGAAATACTGTTTAAATAAATCAACTTTTAATATAGAAACACATATATTAATTTAATAAAATTTTATTTATAAAATTCTTAAAAATAGATATAATATGTGAAGGAATAATATAAAATTAACATATATCTAGTTTTATTTTCACTTTTAATATGTCTAATTATATCAATTAATTCAAATAAACAAACTTATTTTGTTTCTTATTTATTATAATTTGGAGAATAAAAATATCTCTTTTCTTAAATACAATGAAAAGAAAAATATAAATATAAATCTAAATGATTTTTTAAAATTTTTATTACTTTACATTTTATATGTTAATTTTTTTTATTAAATAAGTGGTTAAAACCATTTAAATAGTATAAAATTTAAGTTTTGTTATTTTTATAAAATCATCTCACATCAATCTAAATAAATTATTAAAAAAATTTGAAATTTAATAATTTTAAATTCTCTAAAAGTAATTTTTTTTACAAACTTATATAGACACATATATATATATATATATAAATATATATTATAACAAAATTGTGATCAATGCTTAATTACTAGACAAACAATAAAATATTTTATTGTATGGATCTTAATTTAGTAGAGCAAATTTCATAAAAATATTTTTAGTAGGGATAAAATTTTAAACTTTCAAAACTTTTGAAAATTTTTTTTTAATAAACTTAAAAAAATTTAGGACTCAATGGGAGCAGCTGCCCCACTGCCGTCTATGTACATTCGTTCCTGTTTTTTTATGTACATTCGTTCCTGTTTTTTATAAATTTGTTAAGGTGTATTAAGAAAAAATTGAAGTGCAGATAGTCCATCTCTTTATCTTATGTTAAGAAAAAAACTCATAGATACAGATATTAGTATAGATTCCTTAAACAAAAAAAAGAAAAAGAAAAACTGACTAAATCCACCCAACCCCACCCCATCCCGCATCTTCGCGCCGTTCACCGTTCACTCATTCCTTCCTTCCTCAATTTCCACAATCCATTCGCGATTTCCCTCTCGCCTCTCCCCACCAGCAGCAGTCTTTGCCAGTCTGCCTCTGATCTCAACTTCCCAAATTTCCATTTCCCGCCCAATTACCTCACATCGCATCTTCATCCTTCACTCTTCCTCTGTCTTCCCTAAATTTCTGGTCTTACCCTCATGGCCTCATCCCCTGGACCTCTGCCTCTCATCGGCTCATCCCAATTCCATCGCTCTTCACCCAGCCTCTGGCCACAGACTCCAGTCCCATTCGACAAACAAGGTAACTTGAGTTTCGAATTACTTGCTTACCTTCAGTCACTTGTGCTTCAATTCTTAATTGAGGCTGAATTTGACTAAATTGGTTGTGTTTTTGGGGCTGAAATTGTGGATTGAAGTCTCTGCCAGTCTAGGGTTGTTTCATGTTATAAGGACGGAAAACGGTGTAGCGGTAATAACGTTAGTCCATTTCTTAGAATCAATCGAACAAAGATCCTTTGGATGATAAATTCGAGTTAATTTCATGTTAATTCTTTCCAGAACTGAGCTTTATTAAGAACTTTGATTACTTAAAAGAGTAAAAACTTCAAAACTACAACGTTAATTGCAGCAGCGGCAGCAACATCGAGTTCGAGGTTCCTTTTCTTTCAAATACAATGCTCTGATTCTAACCCTAATCGGGGTTTTGGTTCCAAAAAGTCCAACAGAAAGGTAAAATTCTTACTCTTTTTTTTTTTTTTCTTCTTTTGCTTCAAGTTTAGTTCCCCTTAACATTGATTTGGCCTCTAAAAACTCAGGCAAACAAGGCCAGTACATCAAGGGAGGAGAAGGGTATGAAATCACAACAAAGGTATCTCAAAAAATGCTATTTGATGGTCAATGGTGAACCTTGTTGATTTTTTAATTCTATTTTTGAAAATACTCACCAAAACAGTGGTGCAATGACTATGAATGCTTTTTTATTTCATTCTTTCCCTTGATTATATGTCAATGCCTGATGCATTTGTTATTGATCAATGATTGATAGTTCTCCATCTAATTCTTTTTCTTTCTGTCTCTCTTTCTTATTTTCCTTTTTCCTTTTCTTTAAACACGTGGTCATGAATAATTTGATTATGTTTAGTTGTTAAAGTTTTGACTTGTCCTAGATGATTAATTTGATTATGTTTCAGTTATTGTAATTGATACTACTGCTTTGTGCAGGAAATCAACTAGTAAACAATATGGTCCTTCACCTGCACGTAAGTAAGATATTTATCTTTTCTAAGAATATATTTTTTTTATTTGACTTATTGCTAATGTGGCAACACTTGGTATGTTAGATTTCTATTTCCATGTTGTTTACATGCACCGTAAGTCACCAAGCTGTAGGCTTGTACCTTACAACACTTGTTCTATTAATCATATTATGTATCTTACAATTTATGGGTTGATACAAATGTTAAGTTTTGTTTGATGATGACCTCATTTACCTCATTTGAGAGAGAAATGCATCATAAAATGCACAGGAAAAGGGCATGGATTTCAGTTGTTCTCTCTAAAGGGTGATAGCATGCAGTTTGATCTTCTTGATGTATAAAAAATAACATAGGAATGTAATAACTGTTTCCAACTTAGATAAGGTCTTCTAAAATGTATAAGAAATAAGCTTAGTAAATGACATCAGCCACCATATGACTTTCAACTACTATAGAAATCATGATACTGACATTAACTAAGTTATTATAAACTCATTTGTGTCTTGCAGTCTCACTTTTAGTCAGTAAAGTCATATCATTTTCATGGATGTGTACAGCATCATCCTGTAAAAATAGTCCCCCCTAGGAAAAAAAGAAGATATGGATGATTGTATTGTTGAGAAGGATTTATAAAGATTTAGAAAGAGTACAACAGTTATGATGAGAATAGTGAGGAAAGTGTTCCAGCAAGTTTACCCTCTTTAACTGTCCTAGCTCTGCCAACTCTACCTTAGATATTATATAAGTTAAAAAAGATAAAAGAAAAAGGAAAACTGCAGCCTTGAGTTTTTTACTCAACATGAGGGATCTCTTCTGTAGGGAACTCCCCCCCTTCCACTCTTTTCGTTTTCTTTTTTTTTTTTTTTCAAACTTTTGTAATCTGGTTTTCTTTGCCGTTTTGTTCTGAGTTGTTAGGTTGACTGTTGTATATCTTTTGTCTGCTTTGTTGTCTAATTATCCCATGAATTGGAGAAATATTAAATGAGGGGGTTTGTGTCTGTGTGCAAGGAGTGGGGGGTTTGGCAAAAGGGGAATATATCCCCTAGGAGTGGGAGCCACAGTAACTTCCTCTAAGTGGAGGCATCTCAGCACTTGGCCTTTGGCTCTTTTGTTTCTTGTTGTTAAAATTCTGCAACAACTTTTTACAAAAAAACCTGCTTTATGTCCTTAAAAATTGAACATATAATATAACATAAGAGGAAATAACAACTTTACCAAACAATTCCTAAGTTTCTATGCCCCATTTTCATGGCATTGCCTTCAGTTTTAAGTAGAATTGGTCTAAATTTTGTTCTATTTTTATAAATCTGTTAGGTTATTCACCAAAATGTGATTTTTTCATGCAGGGGCACCTGGTTTAAGTGTTCAATTTGATGGAAAATCTAACAGCAGTTCCTTGGATATTGGCTTTGAGGAACGGCTGGAAGCAATTAGAAGGTGCATTTGTGTTACATTTTTCTCATGTGATTCATACATGCTAGAAATATCTTCACATTAAAATATAATCTGTTGTTACTGATGTCCATCCAATTAGGTTGCTGATAGTAATTACTAAGGTACTGCTTTCTGTTAATGTGTTGACTGTTATGTTCATGTAATTCTTTAAAGACTAAGATCATTTCTGTTATGCACCAACTGCACAGCATAACCAGGCATATTATAAGCTATACTACTTTAACTTTTATATCAATTTGGTTATGTCATATTTGATACTTGGATGCTCAATACTGGTTGGTCTATTTACAGTCACCAAAAGTTTCTGGATGCTGTTTAGATCCAGACAATTGTATTCATCTTTGACCCTTCATAACCTTGAGAACTCTCTCTTGGATATTGATAAGTTTCTTTGGGAATTGTGATTGCAGTCTTATTGATAATTTCTTATTGTCATTTTAAACATGTGTGTGGTGACCGCTGTTCAGATGATTTCTTCTTGTTTATGCTTCATACTTGAATTTCTTTGGTGACGACTATTCTTCTTGCATGCTACTCAGGGCTGCACTCGAACAGAAAAAGGCAGAGGAACAAAAAGAATTTGGAGCAATTGACTATGATGCACCTGTTGAATCAGAGAATAAAACAATTGGGCTTGGTGCTAGGGTATGAAGTTATATACAGAAAAGCATGGTTATCCAAAAAAAGTTTGATCTTGAGCAGTATTTTCATTATTGATTCAAATTCCTTCTTTTTTTTTTTTTCCTGACAGATTGGAGTAGGAGTAGCTGTTGTGGTCTTTGGTTTGGTTTTTGCTCTTGGAGACTTTCTTCCCTCAAGAAGGTGTGTTTAGAGCATTGACTGTTTCTCCCTATCATTTTAAGTTATAAGATTAATTGATCTGGCATTTCAGTTTCCAATTCTGCTTCTTTGCTTTTCGTTTCTTGCCTCTCTTATTAAGAGTGCTTAATTAAATATTAACTCTATTTCATACTAGTATGATTAAAGGAAATTTGAAAACGAATTTTGTTTTTTCTGGCTGAGTTCACTTGATTGTCATTTACATCTATCTTGTTAGATGGTAGATAGAGAAAGCAATTTGAAGCATCTCTTGTTCTCTCTATCATAAATTCTTTCATTTCACCGAAATTGGGGATGTGAAGCTCTATGTGGGCAACTGTTTTCTTCCATAGATTTTGATTTTGAACTTGAATTAATGATATATAAATAACATGTAAATAATATAGCTGTCATTATAATATGGTTATTTTCTTAGATTATATATATATTTAATTTTGTTTATAACATCAAAGTTTGACTTTGGACACTATCAAAATCTGTATTTATTTTAAAGACTTGCTCAATCTCATCTTAGAAACACAATCCACCTGTAAAAATCATGTAAAATTAAAAAAAAAAAGCAAAAGGAAAGAGGAAATCAAACTGAATGATTATAACTCTGTATCAGTGAATTGGATGCATGCACAAGTGCATCTGTGTGCACATATAAAGTGACAACATAATTTTGTATGCAGAAAGTAATGTCATAGGTAAGAATGAAGATATTTACAACTGTGCGGAAAGGATCATCAAAAAAAGAATAAAAGAGATAAAGGAAATAAGAAAAATAAAAAAAAGTTTTTAAGTGGAGGATGGTCAAGAAAGGAGATAAGAAGGGATAAGAAGAAAGTGACCGAAGACCCTCTCATAGCTTATTACATTGAAGATATTTATATAAACAGTAAAAGTAATGAACAGTATCCAAAATGATTTTCTGCTACTATTGCTACAATAAAATTTTATCTGCTCGGGAGCTTCTCTTTCTAGGATAAAGATTCAGTGTCAAGATGAAGGGCGGTATCACATTCACTTGCTTGCCATCCCTTTTCTCCTTTCTCCCTCCTTCGTTCGCTACCTTTACTTGACAAAAGACCGAGAGTGATGCGTGGCCGAGTAGACAAAGAGAGTGTGACTTGAGCGTACCAAGAAAATTAGGCTGGACCGAGACTTTTGTCAGGAACAGTAACTGCTATAGTACAGCTGGTCTTTGGCTCTGAATAGCTTTGTCTTTTTGTGTCGGCAGCTTGGATCAGCTTATTCATTGGCTAAGTCTTTCTTGGAACATGATTTATCAGGATTGTTTATTCCTCCATGGCATCATCCAGGTTTTGGAATTCTACACCATCTTCATCATCCAGGGTTTATCCAGGGTTTGGTGAGAGTGAGGAGAATTAGATCTGGATTGATTTTACATCTTTCATCCTTCTTGGTGTTGGAAGAGCAGTTCTTGTGAGTGGTCCAAATCTTCCATCTGAGAAAGTTTTTGAAGAAGTTTCACTGCTTCTGGTTGACTTTGCATTGGAGCTTCATATGAACCATAATAAGTTTGAATAAAAATTCTTCTTCCATTTGTCCAGGCAACACATTTTGAAAAACTGTCTTTGGTGGCTAGCTGAAGAAGATGAGTGGTTTTTCTATCATTTCAATTCCTGATTGGAATTGATATTGAGTTGAATTTGAAAATTTTGAAACTATTGTTTTTAGAGTTTCTGAAATCTTCAAGGCTTCTGTGGTTGGGTTTAACAGAGGATTAGAAAGGATTTTTCTAATTTCTTAAATTTGATAAGGTTGAAAAAATCTCTCTCTCTGAAAACTACCAAGGAGACTGGTAATAGTAAAGTGTAAATAGAAAAAATAGTGACTGCTTTTTACAGATCTGTGAAAGTGGTGTTTAATAAAGGCTAGGAAATCTTTGATCAAATCAAAGGAAAGATTTTGTATAAGGATCTGACCAACTATTCCAATTTTGATGCTAGTTATATCAAAGGGTTAATGATTCAAACGAAATTTAATTTTTGGAATGTGAGCCCCAATGGTAGTAATATAGATATATAAAGAATAATAATTATTCAGAAATTTTTTGACTAATAGTTTTTCTGTACTTTGAACAATAGAAAGATTTATTTGTTGAAATAGTTCTTTGGTTAAGAATTGAGCTGTTTTTTCAAATAGAAGTATTCTCTTAAGCTTGTTTAGCCAAGGAGAATTGTTATTTTCAAAATAATCACAGTCTCAAGAAATTGTTTATTTTTGAGATAGAATATGCATTTTTTTCGAAAGCAAAAAAGTTTATATCTTGCTCAAGTTAGTAGAAAGAAGGCTTTGGATAGCTACTTTTTTAAATTCTTGAATATCTGTAACTTGTTTAGCCAGATATTCTGCTAGCTTGGTCATTTCTTTTCAAAAATGAGTTTTATTTTGAGTGAGATGAGATTTTTAAACAAAATTCAACAAATCATAGAGTTGTGGTTAAAGTCCAGGATTATAAAAATCTTTGATCTCTTGGTTAAAAACTTTTGTTTCTTGCATCAGTTTTTATGTGGAAGAAACTATTTCAGAATAGCTCATTGGAGTCTATTGGTTTGGATATTGGGAAAACTGTGAGAATTCTGGTTGAACTCTCAAAGGAGAGGGTATATAGGGTGGTTTAAAATTTTATGGTTGATAGAAAAATAATCCTTGGTTAGAATCATTGAAGAAACCAAATCTTGGTTTAGGAGTTGTAAGGAAAGAAAGAGATCTTGGAGAAGAAGGGGTTAAAAAGGATGAAGAAGATGAATCTTTTTTAGGTTGTTTCTTCTTAATAGTTATCCATTCTTCCTAACAGTCTTGAGATAATTTATCTCTATTCATTTGGCCTGTTAAAAAAATCAGCTAAAATATTTTTATTAGAGTTAATAAACTCGATAAGAAAACTATATTGACAAAGAAAGTTATACTAGCTGATTCTTCTGGGATTGAGAGTTTTCTATTTTTTAGGAAGTTTTGGACGGCCTGATTATCAGTTCTTATAATGAAGGTTTCAGAGACCAGATAAATATGAAATCTCTGTACATCATTTTTTATGGCTAATAGTTCTTTTTTATCAATAATATAATTTATTTCGTTTGGTTTAAACTTTCCTGAATTGTAGTCATAAATCAATTCATCTTTTTGATGAAGATTTTTTGCTTTAAGGACACATCCCCAATGTTCTTCACTGGCATTTGCCTTTAATATAAATAAATCACCTTGTTTAGGCAGATAAACTTTAGGAACATAGGTTAGTTTTGATTTGATTTGTTTAATAATTTTAGAGTCAGCTTGAGTCCAGATAAAATCAATATCTTTTCATAATTTTTTCAAAAAAGACTTTCTTTTTTAGAAAGGTTTTTGAAAAACTGTCTACCATAATTAACTATACCTAAGAACTGTTGCAGTTGCTTGATATTATCCAGTTCTTTTGGAAACTCCTTGATATTTGTACTAATATGATCCTGTAATGTTAAACCATTAACAGATAAATTAAGACCAAAAAATTCTATTTCGGTTTTTTCGAGTTCAACCATTTTGTGACTCAAAATGATACCATGTAAAATAAATTCTTAAGCAATGATATTTAGGTGTTTGTTGTGCTCATCAAGTGTGTTAGAAAAAACAAGTATATCATCAATATATACACAGCAAAATTGTTTATGTTTGCTGAATATAATGTCTATCCAATGCTGAAATATCTGAGGTGCATTGCATAAACCAAAAGACATAACAGTCCATCGGTAATGACCTGTTGGTGCACTAAAAGCAATTAATAATTTAGATTCAAGTTTAAGCATGATTTGCCAAAAACCTGACTTGCAATCAAATTTAGAAAAATATCTAGCATTTTTTGCTAAATGTAATAAAACATCCTTACGAGGAATGAAATAGCCATCATATGCAAGATTTTAATTTAATCTCTTATAGTTGATAACCATACGTGGTTTACCTCGTTTGATTTCAGAGTGGTTTCTTACCATGAATGCTGGCCTAGAATGTGGATTGGTAGTTGGTTCTATCAGGCTTTTTTCTAGTAGCTTTGAAATTTGGATCTCAAATTCATCTATATCCTGTTTGGTATAGATCATGGGCTTTACTCTTATTATCGTTTTTGCGTCGTGAAGAGTCAGCTCACAATATCGTGGACGTCTTTTCTATAACTTCAATGGTTCTTCACTAAAGTTTTCTTGCAAGATCTTATATAACCAATGTTTTTCATTGATTACTTTAATAATACCTGTTGTTAAGCTTTCTGGTTGAAAATTTTTGTCATAGATATGCTCATGTTCTTGTAGTAAAGGAATATCAACTGATTGTTTATCAATTGTTAGAGTAACATGAGTTGTAGATATAGAAAATGGAACATAAGTATGTATAAAATTATTTCATAACAATATGTCTTGATGCATATTAGGAAAACATAGGATTTTTGGTATTATAAATCTAACATTTTAAAAATAAACAGGACCATTTTTTGCTTTATAACCAACAGTAGTTTCCTTACCATCAATACCTATTATGACGATAGGATACTTCATTGGTTGCCATTTGTTTAATGGTAAAGTATTGTTGCCACAACTTGAGATTGTTGTTCTAGTGTCTAGCAAGATGTGTAGACTATATGGTTTATAGCCCTGAAATTGAAAATTACCTTTCACAAAAGTATAATATCTATCTTTATTAGAAAACAAAACTGTGTCAGGTGCAGATAATTTAAAATTATTTATAAAATGTAGCATATTTATTTCTTCATGTCTAGGGGTTCTAGAAGAAAAAGTATTAGAATTCGAAATAGAATTAACAGAATGATAATAGGATTGATTATAACTTGTATGTTGCTGAGATGGATTATCTTTTGCGAATATAGGAATTTGAGCATTACTTGTATGGCTTATATTGTTTGCTCTTTGAAGATTTTTTGTACTGGTTGTACTATGAAATCTTGAAAAAGAATTTTTGTAAGGAGTATGAAAAGATTGATTGCTAGA